CCTCATATCAGGCTTTGTAGTGACAGTGTGGAGCTTGCTTGGGATTCTCTGTCTCCTTCTCTCTCTCTCTGCTACCCCCCACCCCCACTCACTCTCTCTAAAAAATAAGTAAACATAAAAAAAAAAAAACTTGAGATTTTCATATGAAATGGCTTTGATTCCATAGATCAGTTTGGAATGGACTAATATCTTTACTGTGTTGAGGCTTCTAGTAAATGAGCATTTATTTATGCCCTCTTTATAATTTTTAAATAAACTTTTACAGTTTTCTACTGATTAGGACCTGCTATAGTTTGATAGATTTATTCCCAGAATTGTATATTTTTGGAAGCGTTAAAATTAGTAAGAAATGTTTTCTTTTGGTGTATGAAAGCAGTTTTAAAATAGATTTTGTGTGCTGTAGCCTTATTAAACTTTCTTATTCTAGAAATAGATCATTAGATTCCTTAGGATACTCTATTTACATTATCAAATCATCCGAAAAGACCATTTTATTTCTTTTTTCCAACTTCTGTATTTTCTTTTCTTGCCTTGTTTTGTTGGCTGAGCCTTCCAGTAGCTGGCACACTTATCTTGTTCTTAATCTTTTTTTTTTTTTTTCAACGTTTATTTATTTTTGGGACAGAGAGAGACAGAGCATGAACGGGGGAGGAGCAGAGAGAGAGGGAGACACAGAATCGGAAACAGGCTCCAGGCTCTGAGCCATCAGCCCAGAGCCCGACGCGGGGCTCGAACTCACGGACCGCGAGATCGTGACCTGAGCTGAAGTCGGACGCTTAACCGACTGCGCCACCCAGGCGCCCCTATCTTGTTCTTAATCTTAAAGGGAGTGCTTTTTACTCTTTATAAGGGTTAAGGAAGTTTCTTTCTATTCTTATGCGTAGAATTTTTATCATAAGTGGATGTTGAATTTTTCTAATTCAGTTAGAAAATTTCTAATTGAAAATTGAAAAGGCTTTTCTTTATTCTTTGAGATGATTATGTTTTCCCCTTTTAATGAATGTGGTGAATCCCATTAATTGATTTTTAAAAAGTGTTTATTTTATTCATTTATTTTTTTTTTCAACGTTTATTTATTTTTGGGACAGAGAGAGACAGAGCATGAACGGGAGGAGCGAGGTGAGACACAGAATCGAACAGGGCTCAGGCTCCTGTGAGCCATCAGCCCAAAGCTCGACGCTGGCTCGAACTCACGGACCGCGAGATCGGACCTGGCTGAAGTCGGACGCTTAACCGACTGCACCACCCAGGCGCCCCATTATTCATTTATTTTTAAACTTCTTTTTAATTTTTTTTTTAATGTTTATTTTTGAGAGAGAGAAAGAGACAGAGACAGAGTGTGAGTGGGTGAGGGGCAGAGAGAGAGGGAGACACAGAAATCTGAAGCAGGCTCTAGGCTCCGAGCTGTCAGCACAGAGCCCGATGTGGGGCTCAAACTCACGAACTGTGAGATCATGACCTGAGCTGAAATCAAGAGTCAGACGCTTAACTGACCAAGCACCCCACATTTTTTTAACCCCAAACTAACCCTGCATTCCTGGAATAAATCCACTGTAGTCTTTTTAAAATTTAATCTTTATTTGAAGCAGGCTCCACATACAATGTGGGGCTTGAACTCGTGACCCTGAGATCAAGAGTCTCATGCTCTGCTGACTGAGCCAGCCAGGCACCCCCAGTCCATTGTAGTCTTAATATTTTACCTTATTAGATTATTTTTGCTAGTACTATTTAGGATACTTTTTTATATGTTTGTGAGTAAGACGGGCATGTATTTTTTTTTTTTCCTTTTTACACTCCTCTTTGTCAGGTTTTGGTATTGAGATTCTGCTGGCCTCATAAAGTGAGTTAGGAATTGTTTACTTTTTCCCCCTACTCTGAAAAAGTTGTGAAATACTGGAATTATTTTTCCTTTGGATTTCTGGAAGCAAGCAGAGTGAAATTGTTTTCATTTTTCCTTTGGGGAAGATTTTTACTGACAAATTAAATGTATTCAAATACTACGGGACCCTTTAGATTTTCTGTTTTCTTCTTGAGTCGGTCTTGGTAAGTTATATTTTCTAGAGAGTAATCCATTTTTAAGTTTTACTTACATTGGCATGAATTTTATTGGTTCATGATAATCCTCTTTTATAGTATCCGCGGCATTTTTTTTATTGTGTCCTTCTTTCTGTTATCCTTAAATCATTTGTTCCTTCTCTTTTATTTTTTTATTCCATCATACCAGAAGTTTATAATCTATACGCTTCTTTTGAAAGAACCGAGTTGGTGTTTCTATTATGTGGGGTTTTTTCCCTCTTTGATTATTGTTGGTCTTTCCTTTATTCCCTTTTATCTATTATCTTTGGTTTAATTTCTTAGTATTTGCTCTTTTTCTGTACCATTTGACAGCAGTAAACTACCCTGTCCTTGTAGCTTGCTTTGGCTACAAGGCTCCTGAGGCACCCTAGTCCTAAGGGATTTTTTTTCTGTATTCTAACTGCTTAATCTTTGTCTTTACATTTCCTAATGTAGGTGCCCTCTTCAGGCTTCTTTGCTCTACATCCACTCTTAGTTGGTTGACACTTTTACTCTTCAGATTTCACCTATCACTTCCCTGTGAATGATATAAGCAGGGGACCCTGTCCTTGTCTGGGCTCTTCCACTAACTAGCTGTGACATTTTGAATAATTCACTTAAGATTCCTTAATCTGTTTGTTCCAGTAAAATAAGGAGGTTGGATTCAAGATCTCCAAGGTTCACCTCAGTAACACTGCTCCGGTGGCAACTTTATAGAGTCTTTACCTCTGGCCTCTGTCATTTCTAAATGCCTTCTGGGTCACTTTTCTTACGTTGTTTTGGGGTTTCTCAAACTCTGTATATCTTATGTTAATCTTCTTACACAATTCACCTTCTCTCCCAAGCTGTTAATACCCCCAGTTCCTTATTTATGTTCCTGTTTTCTCTGGCACACATTTGGTTTGACTCCCAACATCCTGTCTCCCTGTACCGTCTTCATACTCAAGTCTGACACGTGTGTGTGTGTGTGTGCGCGTGTGTGTGTGTGTTTTCTTCTTTCCTTTTAGCCCAGGTTAGGTCTTTATGTTTTACAAGAATGATTTCCCCGTGATACCTCCTTTCTTCCATCCCTTACCTTATAGGGGAGCCTCAGAGTTTTACTTAAAAAAAATACCTGCTTTTGCATCTTAAATCTCTATTTATCTGAATTGAATTTATCTCTGTTTAATTGAATTGTCTAAGAATGTCCTTTCACTTTGCTGGCTTTAGATACCATGCCTTTATGCATCCCCCCCCCCCCCAAGAGGTAGAGACAGGGCACCTAAATAGTATTACTTATTTGGTAATAAGTAATATGGCAGGCTCTGTACCAAGGATAGAAATCCCTCAATCGTGTGTTATAGTGCTTTGTGATTCACAAGCTTCTCATTTTTGTGGGAACTTGCAAGTGGAACCAGTGTATAGAATTTTTAGGATCTCCATGAGAGTGAAATATTTGGTTCTGGAAGACTTCCTGTATTGGCGATGTGTTAATTAACCGCTTGTCTCTGTTTTTCAAAATCTCATCTTCTTTCAGTCTAATGCATTTATGTAATATATATTGAGCATTAATGATTTTCTGCATGGAGATGGAGACCAGTGGCTAATGACAAAATGTGCAACTTTCAAATCATGAAACTTCTGTACGTGGCTCATGAAGGTGACCCTAATTAATTACTTTAAGTTTTATTTCACACTAGTTTCTCACTACTTGACACAAGTATGTACCCTTTTAACTTGATTAAAGGTTTATGTCTAGGTAGTTCTTTAATTTACTATTTATGGGAAACTTTAGGAAAAAACCATAAGAGAACGATACACTATGAGGGTTTAAGCAGGTGGAAATATATGGACACTCCTTTTATAATTATCTCACGGAAACCTTAAATAGGTCTTTTGAGTCATGTGATCTACCTCATTATTCTTATTAAAGTGATTCGTGTGCTAGAAATGAGAGTATATAGAGGCAGAAGTTAGTAGCCGTTTAGAAATACTACTTTAATGTTCTGCCTCGTCCTGTCCCAACAGGTGTCAACAGGTGTGCTCCATGTGTGCACACACAGGAGTGAGGACGGGCAGATGGGTTGTTTGAGTGGTAGGAAATGGCAAGTCAGTACCACCTTCATGTGCCTCAGTGATTCTTGCAGGTTCCTGGAGTCTGTTATATTTTGTTGAGTACAAAGAATTCTGGTTATTTCTAAATAATACCTGGATATTGTAGTTTGAAAACCATGTATTATATCCTTAAAAAATATTTGAGTATTAGGATGATATGTCTTTCCATAAATTAGTCCGTCCTCTTCTAACATCTGATTGCAGCATCGGTGGTTAAAAAGCACAGGATGACATTTAGAAGATGATAGTTACAGCAGAGGTCTTGCTAATTAAATATGTGCAGCAGTTTATACTTTGGAAATGAAGAAATTATTAAAAATGTTCTGCAAATGGTTGTTTTCGCCATGAGATTGTCATGTAGTAAAAGCATAAGTTAAGAATAAATCATCTTGCAAAGTCACCAGTGGGTTTCTTCTGTCCATGCCAAATATGGAGAATTGGGGACCAGAAGAGCACTTCAGTCCCTCTTTAGAAGTCTGTCTTCTACCATTCTTCCCAACAGTGATAGTGACAATAATCTCTTCCTTATAAGTGCCGTGCTTATTCTGACCCCAAACACTGCATTCACTTCCAAATTCTCTAACACCGTGTTTATGGCTGGGATTCATTTTTTATATTTTAGTTTCTGTTTCTTATGCTTAGTGTTCATTTATTTGTCCCGCCGCCCTCCCTTTAGTAGAGAAATCATTTTACTGTATGTCCTTTTTCTTTTAAATCCCTCTCGTCCTTGGAGGTACTTAGGAAAGTGCTTCTACAAAACTGATGACTGATCAGTGCTGGTGACTGAAGGCTAGTGCTTTATTTCAGTTGAGTTTGTTTTTAATAGTTACATTATCGTGCTTGCTTTCCAGGCACACAAACCAATGGTCTGGACTTTCAGAAGCAGCCCGTGCCTGTTGGGGGAGCAATCTCAACGGCCCAGGCCCAGGCTTTTCTGGGACATCTCCATCAGGTAGGATGCTCTGCTCAACCATCAGGGAGGGTAACAAGTGGAGGCATGAAATGCGAGGGCCTGGGGAAGTTACTTCAGTGTGTGGGACTTTTTACATTGATTAAAGCCTGTGCTAATCGCACCTAATTGTGTCCTTCTGAATGGTTCGGCTGGAATCCTGTAGCTTAATTGACTATATAGCTATTGACCCCGCAGCTGTGTGAAAAAAAGGAATTCTTTGTTATGAATGGAATGTATATAACAACGGGGTTACTGTTTTTGTCCCTGTGGGTCTGTGATGGCTCACTGAAGGTAGTAAATTACAAAGTCATCCAAAAGGATGTAGTCACCATTGCCTGAGACCTGCTGAGTAAGGCTCTCAGTTCAGAATATGTCTTCATAAAATGTATCTTCATATGTCTTCTGAGCTCATAAAATATGTTTTTAGACTACCTACGCTTTATATAAAAGAAGCTCCTGTGATTGAAACAGGTGAAATTTTAGAAAGGCCCTCTAAAGCCTATTTATTCTATAAATTCAAAGGGATAGTGTGCAGGCAGCCATTAGCATCTTCTATTAGAGGGAGGCCCTAGTTGACAGACTTTGGTCAGGTGCATAGGTTTGTGTTTCTGAAAGTAGAGAAACTTCTACATGAAGCTTCTGGATAAAATATTAAGATGATTTAGCATCTAAAATAATTTAAGAATATATTGTAGAAGAACAAAAATGTTATTTTCATGTTGATTTTTTTTTTCCCCCTAAAAACATATTGTAGCCTCCAACAAGTTTTCTGGTTTCTTAGAGGGATAGCATTTTTGATAGTTTATGTGGCTTATATTAAGTGTCTATCTGGCATAAATTTGTGACGGTCCAAATGTATTTAAAAAAATCCCTGAAGGTACATAGATGATATGCAGTCTTTTCTCCATTGGATCCAAATTCCAAGATGAGTACAACTCCTGCATCAGCCACAAGGCCTCCAGCTCAGAATCCTTGAACCTTCAATATGCCCCATACCAAAGGACTTTAAATCAAGGAATTTTAGGGGCGCCCGGGTGGCTCAGTCATTTAAGCATCTGACTTCGGCTCAGGTCGTGATCTCATGGTTCGTGAGTTCGAGCCCCGTGTCGGGCTCTGTGCTGACAGCTCAGAGCCTGGAGCCTGCTTCGGATTCCGTGTCTCTCCCTCTCTGTCTGCCCCTCCCCCACTCATACTCTGTTTCTCTCTTTCTGTAACATAAATAAACAGTTTTTAAAAAATTATAAACAAAGGGCAGCAATCCATTCATTTTAGCTCTGAACTCTATATGAGCTCCATACCAACACTTATACTTAACTTCAGGAAACCTTGAAGTTATATGATATATCGAAAGTGGAACTCATTGTCTTCCTGTCAGTGACACTACCATTTTTTCCGTCTCTCAGATTTGAACCCTGGAATAATTCGTGACTTCTTTCTTTATCTATATCCAGTCAGTTGCCAGGATCCTATGTAGCAGCACTGTCTCTCGTGTTTCCTACTTTTTGTGCTGACTGCTGCCATTCTGATTTACACTTCATTTATCCTACTCTAACTTCTATTCTTTTTCCCCATACATAGTCTTTCTTTATTTTCAGGACATTGACATTTTTGAAGAGTACAAACTAGTCATTCTATAGTGTTGCTCGGTTTGGGTTTGGGGAGGAGTACAACATAAGTAGTATTGTGTTCTTGGTGGATTATACCAGAAGGCACGTGTGTCCTTAGTGGTGACTTTTCCTTTTGTAATGAATAAGTATCAGCGGAGAGATGGTTGAGAATATGTAAATATCATGTTATTCCCCACCTCTCACCCATTAGAGCATCCATTGATGATACTTGCCAGAATCAGGTATTAACGTGGCTGCCAAACAATGTCCCTTATTCTAATATAAGCATGGTTTTTTAACTTTCTGAATGCATGAAATGTTGTGACAGACTTTCATGTGTGGATTATAGGACAGAGTCTTTATTTCAGCCAGCAGTTTTGAGTTATGACTATAAATGTTCTAAGGACTTGACTGTATAGGTGTTGTGTGTGTGTATATATACGCACGCACACACGCACACATATGTATATGTAAGGTTTTCACTCTGGTATATACTTGAAAATTTTGAAATTAGAATGAGTAGGTAATTCTGATTGTTTATAATGATAAAAATAATGTATGTAAGTAGCTTGTTCTCATGTGTTCTTTATATAATGGATGAATTAAGCTTTTAGAATCTAAGCGTCCAATGATTACAAACAGGATAAGGAGTGTCTAATACAAGAGTGGCACGCCTGATGACACTTAGTGTGGGAAAACATGTTCAGAAAAGAACTGGTAACAGCATCTTCTGGTAGGAGGTGGAGGAACCGTGAGCTTGTCCATAAAGTTTTACCTCTGTAAGATAGACCTCTTCGTGTTTTAGTTCTAACTCAGTGACGGGCACTTAGTAGAGATTCTTGAAATACTTGCTGATGTCAACTTCGAATGATGGATGTCAGTAGTATCGTACTAGAACTTTACCTCACTGCTTTACTTTCAGGTCCAGCTCGCTGGAACAAGTTTACAGGCTGCTGCTCAGTCTTTAAATGTACAGGTAAGCTGGGTTTCGGGATTATGGATCAGTTTTACTATTTTTCCCATATTTTTTCTGACTTTTTTGTAACGAGCACGCAATAATTTTATAATAGGAAACACTTAGGAGTATTACCTTTTTTTATTACCTAATGTCTTTAAGATCCAAATACTGATAATCATTGACAACACGTTCATAAAAATCCAGTTTATGTTATACTACTGTGAATGACAAAAGGTGAACAAGAGAAGTCTACTTGCAGAGTTGGATGTGTAAGTTTATTTAATTTTTATCTGGGGGAGCATACGTGAGTGTAGGAAGCTGTTTCTGAGTTTTACAGTGATAACACATACCTAAACACAAAGCCAAATAATTTGTAAATCCCTTTTTGTTTCCAGATGCCTTTTTGTGGTTTTATAGTGTAGAGGAAAGAGCACTGGGCTGAGGTACAGAGGTTTTTAGTGTGCATTCTAGCTCTGCCACTAACTAGCTGTATGACCTTTGGCGAGTCACTTAACATCCTGGGGTTCCTTTTTTTTACACTTGTTTTAAGTGGGGAAGTTTTTAGAAGCTTGCCAGGGTCCCTCTCTGCTCTAAAGTGCTGTGCTTCTAAGGTTCGTAACTAAGCCTGGTGTAGTTATTGACGGGCCGCGTCGGATCAAAATTTTAAAAACGAAGGTTAAGTCTGGCTACTTTGCTGATGCACAAATCATGTGGTAAAACGTGCAAAGTTCAGTTATTATACGTTACTCCGTAATTCAGTCAATCTGCTGCTTCCTTTCGTTATAGTGTTTAGGTAGCTGACAGTCAAGAGGGGAAAGCCATATTTTAAAAGATTGATTTCAGTGTTGCTAATGACTAAAGACCTTGGGTTGAGCGTTCCGGGAACCCAATGGAATATGGACCTGGTAACACATGGAAGCAAGAAGAGAAAAGAAAAGGAGATAATGTGACCTTCCTTTCTGAGGGAGAGGAGGCAGAAAATTGCCTCGGTTGCCATGGTAAACTTTCATCCCTTGGAGAGATGTTGGCAAACAGGCTGTATCTCCAGTGCGGCATGTTTACAGTCCTGCACTGTAATTATCTCCCAATGACTGGCAGAATTAATCAGAGCCTTTATGTTAATTAGCCTTGCTGTAGTCCCCAAAACAGGTGGTAGGAAATATGCAAATCTATGCAGAATTTTAATGCTCGCATAGCCAGTTTTAATTACCATAAAATTTCCTCTTAGTGTCCCTTTTAGGAGTGTGTTCTCTTTCCCTCTTGACTGTAGCGTTTCCCCCCCAAACTTGTGTGTTACTTGATGAGAGATGCTGAATTTGCAGTTATTTTAGATATTAGATCCAAAGTTCCGTGGGTCAAGCTGTCAGCTCCGAGATGGTACATGAGGGGGTTTCAGGCTGACCACCAAATACATCTCAGGATGCAGGGGTGGAGGGTCTAATGTAGAGATGGATTGAGAATGTGCTTTCCCTTAGTCCTTATTTCTGAAGTTGAGATCTGGGTTTCCAAAAAATTCTGTTGATTTGTGGAGGACCAAATTTTTTTTTTCTTAAAAGTTGTTAAGTGCAGCCTTGCTGGCATTGGAACGAGAAGTCTATACCAGCAACTTGTATTGTGGGTAATTTTTACATTTTATTTTTCTACTTTCATGTGTTCCGTATTTGATCATTTCTTTTATAGTTAGGAAACGACAAATAAGAAATGTGATTTTTTTTTTTTTAAAGGGAGAAAAAGTCTAAAAATTTCCTATATTAAAATCAGGAAAATACAAAGATTAATAAGAAAGGAAAAGAATGAAACCAGAAAACTCATGACTAGATAAATCCATGTTGTAAACAAGTCTTAAAATATGGAGTTATAAGTAGTATTTTTTAATCAGTTACTTGAAATCTCTTATCCCCCCTTCCCTCCCAGTCTAAATCTAATGAAGAATCGGGGGATTCACAGCAGCCAAGCCAGCCTTCCCAGCAGCCTTCAGTGCAGGCAGCCATCCCCCAGACCCAGCTGATGCTGGCTGGAGGACAGATAACTGGGGTAAGTTTTCACTGAGAGAATTACAATAAACTTTCTTTGTGTCAGAACTGCCACGGGCCAATATCTGATTAGAACCGTTTGCTGTAGCACACAAGTGACGTGGTTATGCCTGGCGCTGTTTTCTTCAAAGAGTTTGCTACGCTGTAGGCAGCTCCTTAAAAGGAATTATCTTTGTCATAAGTTTTCGGGGTATCCTTTCTTACTTTTGCAGATGCTCTCGATAAACTAGAGACTTTTTTAAACCCACGTTTCACCTGTTGCTTCATCATGCAGTGGAGTCATCCTCTGATTGAGATCATTATATTGATGAGATTATAGTCGTCAGTTTAGAGTTACGATATCGCTGCAGAGTAGAAGTTAAAGAGTGGGTTAGTACCTACACAAGAAAAATATTTTCTTTAAATTACTGTGTCATGTTCTAAAATGAAACCTCTGGTCTCGTATCCTGGCTCTACAGTTTACTGTGTGAACTCATTACTTCATCTCCCTGTGCCTCAGTTTTCCTTCAGTTAAATGGAGATGTTGTCTATGTGAGATGCTCACAATATTGTTATATAGATAAAGAATAACAGTGTTTGTAAAAAAAAGAACAGTGCTTGGCATGTAAGTCAATAAATGTCTTTTATTTTTATTGGTAATAGATCGGCCTTTGTGAATACATTAAACTTTTAATTTTTCAGCCGTCTGTGCTCTAAGACACCAGAAGTATTTTCCCAGTGCTGAACATTTGTCTGTTAAGTTATTTTGCGGGTAGAAAGGCTAGGAGACTGGTAAGGAAGAGTTGTTATTCAATTCACATCACATCAACTCACACAATTCTTTACTTCCTTTCTTTTAGTTAAGTATGTTTTAGAAGTTGCAGAATGGTCTTAAATATCTCCTCGATGGAGATTAATATGTTTATTACGTAAAATATTTGTAAACATATGTATCTTGACAGCTGTTAAGTTTTTGAATGGTTTCATTTTGATTCTTATGTCTCTGATGTACAAATTGTATTGGACCCTTTTAGAAGGAGGGTTGTGCCACTAAGTGAATGTACACGCGCTTAATATATGTCAGGGTGGGATGCCTTGCTGGCTCAGTCGCTAGAGTATGCAACTCTTGATCTTGGGATTGTGAGTTGGAGCCCCATGATGGGTTTAGAGATTACAAAAATAAACTAAATACAATACATACATACATAAAAGCTTAAAAAAATAAAGTATATATTCCAGGCTTCCTTCTTGTCTGATCAGAACATGCCACCAAAAGGAAGGCTGAACACACTTATTACTTTGTGTCTGAACTAAGTTGCATTATGAAAGCAAGTTTTAATCTGCTCTAAATACATTTCCTGTTTTACTGTTTGGGTCTGTTTCGGGTGATTAGTGTCTATAATAGTAAGAGACCCTTGGGATTCCAGGTTCGTGTGGCTGGAGCTTCTATTAAACCTGGGCTTTAGGATTCATTTGCATGTAAAGAGAGCCGCTGTCCCCACTGTCACCACCTGTTTCACGGAGATAATGTGTTGGAAAGGGGATATAAAGTTGTAGAGACCCAGTGCTTTCAATAACAGAAAGGACTGTGTTGGGGAGGGGCTGTAGGGAGACTTGGACAAGAAACAAATGGAGCTCATATTCTTTAGTCATATCTTAGGACATAATGGAAATGATGGAATATGGCAGAGATTCATGCTAATGGGAAGCAGCTGGGCCTTATCAGTTCTTTCCGTGGTCAGATCCAGCATCCTTGTTCCTCATTCATCTGACTAATCACTTGCTGTTCTGTTGGGTGTAAATTTCTTTTCATATCCTGTCAGCGTGGATTCTTTTTCTTTTCTTGCTTACTAGTTAATTACTTTTTTTGCCTGAACCCTCGAGCCCTGGACACGTTTGAATGATTGTTTAAGTCCAGAGTGAGGACCACCATTCTAATTTAAATGTTCCGCCAGCAATGGCAGCTCGATTGCTGATCAGCGTTTCAGCTTCAAGCTGACCGTGCGGAGGCAGGTGGCTAAGGTCTCATAGCCCTTGAGTTACCTACCGCAAAGCAGTCGGCTTGCGTTAGGGGCCCTTCTCCCGCAGACCGTTCCAAACGTCTGTTCTCATTTTGTTCAGCTTACCTTGACGCCGGCCCAGCAACAGTTACTGCTACAGCAGGCGCAGGCGCAGGCACAGCTGCTGGCCGCCGCGGTCCAACAGCACTCCGCCAGCCAACAGCACAGCGCTGCCGGGGCCACCATCTCAGCCTCCGCCGCCACGCCCATGACGCAGATCCCCCTGTCGCAGCCCATCCAGATCTCCCAGGTGAGTCTCCCTTTGGGCAGGGGCGGGAAGTGAGGAATCAAGCGGCGGGTCTTCTTTAGTACGGAATCCACTTTCTGATCGTCGGCGTGGCTCCTCAAAAGGCCCGAGGAGCGCGAGAGCAGTGAAGTGCGCCGTCGCCTTCCTTACCGCTGAACTAGAAGTAATACGTTTGTTTGCTTGTTTGAATTGATATTATAAACACGTAACTGATTATTTGAGTAACTGTTTACATTAAGTGACAATTCTCGAATAATTAGTTGGCATATTTCTGAAGCAGGGGATTACTGTATTTATTTTAATTAGCTAATTATGGCAGGCATGGGTTCTTTCATGTGCTCCGCAGTGAATATTGCCACTCATGTGTGAGAGAGACGGCCCGTCCTCTCCCTGCTACGGAGCGATTAACTCTGTGCAGAGCTGTATTCGGATGTGGTTTGGCTCCAGTGTTCACACTTCAGGGCAGAATATCCAGAGATAATAAAAAGTTACTTGAGAGGCATAGACGGTACTGCCTGGGAAGAAAGGTAAATGAAGTCCTTCGTCCCCAGGAGAGGGAAAAAGTCCAAGTTTTGGTATCAGTAAGTTCTGTGAAGAGTTCTTATGAGTCTAGCGCTAGACAATTATCTTTATCCCCCCAGAGAAGACTCAGAAGCAGACTTGCATTGTAGCTAGAGCTTGACTAGGACATTTAAAAGAGCCAGGTAACTATATAAAGCGAAGAATAGGTATCCGACTAATCTTTATGACTATAATATACAAGCTTTTTCAAGATGGTGTCTTAATTGTGGCCACTTTCTTCATCACCAAATACGTTCTTAACGTATAAGCTTTGAGACCCTATGTTGACATTATTCTACTAAGATAATGTGTGTGAAACCACGTTGAAAATTATAAAACACTAGACCGGTGTAATCAAGTTTGATATGTTATGGATTAGGTTTTTATATGGATAACTATTTTTAGGTATTTTTACACGTATTTCTCAGTCGAGTTAGACTGGTACCAAATTAAGGTGGGTTTTTTTGTTTTGTTTTGTTTTTTTGAGAGCGAGAGAGAGTGCGAGCAGGGGAGGGGCAGAGAGAGGGGGAGACACAGAATCTGAGGCAGGCTCCAGGCTCTGAGTTGTCAGCATAGATCTCGACTCGGGGCTCAAACTCATAAACTGCAAGGTCTTGACCTGAGCCAAAGTCGGACGATTAACCAACTGAGCCACCCAGGCGCCCCTAGACTGGTGCCAAATGTAATGAATCATTATAGATACTTTAATTTATCGATGCAGTTTCAGACACAGCACTCTCCATTTTTATGTAAGAGAAAGATGAGTTGAATATTTAAAACCCCAACGTACTCTTTGCTCACTTGATTTTTAAAACCCATATTGATCCTTCCAGGCTAAAAACACTCAACTGTAACCATTTGTTCTGAAGGAATTTGAAGTAACTATCGAAAACTAGCTTTGACACGAGTCCTGACACGGTGGATACGGGCAGAGGTAGCAAGTCCTTACCGCGGTTCCAGGTTTCTTCGCACGCTCTGTGACCATACCCAGAGCACACCCTGTTTAAAAAGGACGGAAGAATGTAGAATATTGACTCTTCTTTATGTGGATGACACAGTTCATCTCCTGGGAACCTTATGATCCAGCGAGTTTTCGTTTTAGGATCTCCAATCCGTGTTTTCGTTCTGATTCTCTAGGATCTGCAGCAACTGCAGCAGCTTCAGCAGCAGAATCTCAACCTGCAGCAGTTTGTGTTGGTCCATCCGACCACCAACTTGCAGCCAGCGCAGTTTATCATCTCACAGACGCCCCAGGGCCAGCAGGGTAAGCTCCTCCTCCTCGGCACCTGTCAGCAGCGCACGAGGCTGTCCGCTGCTGCGCCACACGCACCGACTGCTGTCATTTTAACGTTTGGATTAAATCTGACTGTAAACTCAGTATTCGTGTTAAGAAAAATATATTTTTTAGGGGCGCCTGGCGGCTCTGTTGGTTAAGTGTCTGACTTCGGCTCAGGTCATGATCTCACGGTTTGTGGGTTCGAGCCCCGCATCGGGCTCTCTGCTGTCAGCGCGGGCCCTGCATGGGATTCTCTGTCCCCCTGTCTCTCTGCCTCTCTCTCTCAAAAATCAATTTAGAGGGGCGCCTGGGTGGCGCAGTCGGTTAAGCGTCCGACTTCAGCCAGGTCACGATCTCGCGGTCCGTGAGTTCGAGCCCCGCGTCGGGCTCTGGGCTGATAGCTCAGAGCCTGGAGCCTGTTTCAGATTCTGTGTCTCCCTCTCTCTCTGCCCCTCCCCCGTTCATGCTATGTCTCTCTCTGTCCCAAAAAATAAATAAACGTTGGAAAAAAAAAAAAAATCAATTTAGAAAAAAAAGAAGAAGAAAAAGAAAGAGGGATGCCTGGGTGGCTCAGGTCATGATCTCGTGGTCTGTGGGTTTGAGCCCCGCATGGGGCTCTGTGCTGACAGCTCAGAGCCTGGAGCCCGCTTCAGATTCTGTGTCCCCCTCTCTGCCCCTCCCTAGCTCATGCTCTGTCTCTCTCTCAAAAATAAACAAACATTAACCAAAAAATGGGGTTTTTTTATTTTGGGGTTTTTTTTTAGCTAAGGAAAAAAAAAAAAAACTATTTTTGGTCATGCATGCCACATATTGAAGATTGTCCTTTACTGCCTTTCATCTGTTCAATCTCTCATGGTGAACCAAGAGTTTGGTCAAAAATCTAAGTGAAATCTTTCCAACATAAATTACTTCTAGTATTTTGATAGTTTTTCTTGGGACTGTATTTAAAAAATGTGGACTGAGCATTAAAAGCATATGCTTCTAACAATCTTTTGTTCTCTTTTAAAGTTTGAGAAGGAGAGAGTGTTATATTAGAAATTGCAAACTTTTGAGTTACAAAAAACACATTTAAGGCCTCTTAGTGGTAAATTTCTATATCAGATAAGTTCAATTCTTGTTTGTAAGGTTAGTGGAGGTTAGAGTAGAGAGATTCAGGGTATCAAGGCTTCACCCCAGCGAACGTTAGTGCATTGCTACCATTTCCTCATTATTTTTGTTCTTTAGCCTTTTTCTTCTTGATCATTCATTCCAAAATCTTTCTTTGCATAAATACCTGTTCCACTTAACAGATAGCTTGCTCCTGTCATGAATCAGACAATTCTCTGGCCCAGTATATACTGGCAGTTTCTAATGGATGCTGGGTTAAGAAGGTGAGCTCTTTTGGGACACCTGGGTGGCAAAGTCGATTAAGCATCCGACCTCAGCTCGGGTCGTGATCTTGCGGTTCATGAGTTCGAGCCCCATGTCGGGCTCTGTGCTGACAGCTCAGAGCCTGGAGCCTGCTTCAGATTCTGTGTCTCCCTCTCTCTGCCCCTCCCCGACTCATGCTCTGTCTGTCTCTCTCTCTCTCTCTCTCTCTTTCTCTCTCTCTCTCAAAAGTAAATAAAAACATTTAAAAAAAAAAAACAAGGTGAGCTCTTTTTAGAGTTTCAAGCTTGCTTCCATTTAGAATACTTCTTCATTTTCATCCATTCCTTACTAAAATAAAGGATTGGCCAATCAGAGAGATCATCAGACAGGTTATCAAAGACATATATCAGTTTTAGTTTTGTTTTGTTTTTTTTAATGTTCGTTTATTTATTTATTTATTTATTTATTTATTTATTTAGAGAGAATCCCAAACTCCGCGCTGTCAGCGCAGACCCCAAAGCGAAGCTCAGTCCCACGAACCGTGAGATCATGACCTGAGCTGAAATCAGGAGACAGCCGCTCAGCCACCTGAGCCACCCAGGTGCCCCTATATCGGTTTCAGTTTTATGTCCCATATCTTACTGCCCAAGTTGTAGTTAACAAGATTGAATTTTAGGAAAGTAAGACATTAAGAATTTTAAGACTGATAAGACTATCAAAAGATCAGTTGGAAATTTTCATTTCACTTTCTTATTCTTTATTTTGCCATATGTTCAGAGGAATCCTTAGTGTATCTGACAGGACATTTGTGTTTTCCAGGTCTCCTGCAAGCGCAAAATCTTTTAACGCAACTACCTCAGCAAAGCCAAGCCAACCTCCTACAGTCGCAGCCAAGCATCACCCTCACCTCCCAGGTCAGTTTTCTCCCACTGAAGATTACTTTCTCTTACCCGGATGTTTTGAGGGACTCTTGGACTTGGTTCAATTAAAAACACAACAGATCCCCACAGTACCCTAATAAAAATAATCCAAATAGTTTTCACACTGAGCAAAAATTCAAAGCAAGACTTATCAGCTTGATAAAGCAATACTATCGGATTGATGTAGTCTTTGAAAATGTCCAAGGAGTTCCTGTTTTCTTCTGTATTTATAAAAACTAACCGTGTTAGTGGCAAATGAGGACTGAGTTCTGGCTCGTCGACCATCCTCCCCTCCAGCCCTCCCCTCTCTGTAGTTGGCAGGAGAGCTTACCACTGGCACCAGAAACCCACTGCTTCAGTGAAAACACATCACGGTCCTCTGCCCTCTTGAAGAAACTGCAAAGAAGTTCCGATCCCCGTGTTTTCTTTCAACTTTGAGATGTTGCTTTAGCCCATTTCTACCAGAGTTTAGCTCTATCATAAAGTATAGGTCTAGACATCTTGAGATGTAAGCTTTAGACCTCTTTCACTTCTTAACCAGCTGTGACTTTGAGCACGTCATTTCATTTCTTCATCTGTAAATTAGGTAATTGAACTGGCTGATCCTGAATCACTCTTCAGCTCTGATTCGCTTTGTCTGTACTCTTGCAAGTTCTCACTAACATATGGCCAGATTTGATAAAATTCCACATCTGTTTATGATAAAAAAGAAATAACAAAAAACAAAACTCTTGCAAACTAGGAATAGGTTTCCAACCTGGTAAAAGTCATCTACAAAAAAAAACCCTACATCATACCACCAAGATCAGGAATAAGGCAAGGATGTCCACTGTTACCACTTTTTTTTTTTTTTAAACATTTATTTATTTATTTATTTATTTATTTATTTATTTAGAGAGCATGTGTGCACAAGCAGGGGAGAAGCAGAGAGAGAGGGGAGGAGAGAGAGAATCCCAAGCAGGCTCTGACTTGATTTCACAAACTGTAAGATCACAGCCTGAGCTGAAATTAAGAGTTGAATGCTTAACCACTTGAGTCACCCAGGTGCCCCAACTATTACCACTTCTATTCAGCATTTTACCGGAGGTCTTAGCAGTGCAGTAAGACAAGAAAAAGAAATAAAGGACATGTAGATTAGGAAGGAATATGTAAAACGTTTTAATTGGCAGAGGACATCATTGTCTATGTTAAAATCCTAAGGGATCTACAAAAAACTGCTGGAATTAATAAGCGAGTTTAGCAAGTAGGATACAAAGTCGGTGTTAACAATGATCATTTGGAAGTTGAACTTAAGAGGAAAAATATTTACCCTACTTACAGATAAATTTCACAAAACATTTGCAAGACTTATATGTAATTTTCAATAGTGAAATTAATCAAGACCTAAATAAATAGAGGGCTATAATGTGTTCATGAATCAGAAGACTTCAGTTGTTAAAACGTGAATTCTTTTCCAAATTGATCTATATATTCAACATAATTCCTATCAGTACCCAGCAGCCTTTTTTAAATAGAAATTTGCATCATGTTTCTAACATTTATATGGAATTGTAGAGGACGTAGAAAAATCAAATAATTTTGAAAAGTAAGAAAGTTGAAAGACTGCCTCATGTCAAAATTAATATAAAGCCACAGTAATGAAGACAGCATGATAACAGCATATGAACAGAAATGAAATAGAAGATTAAGTAGACCCACACATCTGTGGCCAAAGGATTTTCCACAAAGGTGCCAAAGATTTCAGTGAGAAAAGGAAAGTCTTTGGTTATGTGTAGGCAAAAACAAACAAGCAAACAATTTACAATGATTAATTTGAAAAGGGTAATAAGACCTAACCTTCCAGAAGAAAACTTAGGAAAAAAGTCTTTGTGTCCTTGGGTAAGATAATGGTTTCTTAAATAGGACACAAAAACACTATTCATAAAAGAAAAAAATTGACAAATTTAATTTTATAAAAATTAAAATCTTTTTGTTAAAAGCATAAAAGAAAAACCACAAACTGGAAGAAAATATTCTTCAAATTTATATCTGATAAAAGACTTGTGTCTAGAATTTATAACTAATTCACAAACTCGGTAATAAGCCTGACTTTTTAAAAAGGAGGGATGTGCAAAATATTTGAAAATACTTCACCAAAGAAGATACGTGAATGCCCAGTAACCATATAAAAAGATGCTGAAAATCATTGGTCATCGGGGAAACGCAAATGAAATATCACTACATACCCACTAGAATGGGCAAAATCAAAAAGACTATGGTAGTACCAAGTGTAAAGCAACTGGGCTCTTTGATATATTATTGATGGGGTTGCAAACACTTTGGAAAACAGTTTGGCAGTTTCTTATACAGGGTACCTTATGACCTAGCAATTCTACTTCTAGAAATGAATGTCCACACAAAGACCTATATATAAATGTTCAAAGCAGTTTTACCCGTCATCACACCAAACTGGAAATAACCTAAATGTCCATCGACTAATGAATAGGTAACATAACTTTTGGCATATCCATATGATAGAATGCTGTTCAGCAGTAGAAAGGAATATACTTCTGAAACATTTACCAACACGTATGAAGTTTGGAAGCATTATGCTAAGTGAAAGAAGCCAAACATAAAAGACTGCATACTGTATGATTCAATGTGTGTGCATTTTAGAACAGACAAAACCATAGGGACAGAAATTGTATCAGTGCTTGCCGGGGGCTTGGGGGCTAGGGATGGGGAATGGAGGGCAAAGAGCATAAAGGAACTTCTGTGGGGGATAGAAATGTTTTATATCTTAAATGTGGTGGCAGTCACGTGACTACATACGGTTGTCAGAACATCAAACCGCATACTTTTAAATTGTGCATTTAATTGTGAATATGCCGCATATAAAAAATCAGGTTGGAGTCTTGCAAAAGCCTGTTCCAGCAGTTCCTCCCTGGCCTTCGTGCGCCGCACACAGTGGCAGGGCTGGTGTAGCGCCATCCTGACTCCTGCTCACTGAGTTCTACTCTGCCGTTTCTAGATCTGGCCCAGTCCAACCTGAGGTTTCTGGAGTTGGGGTGACTTATCTGTAACCACCCCACCTAAAGGTACCCAAGCCATTTTTAGTCCTTTACTATTTGAGAACGGGGCTCCTTCAAGCCTGGAGATGAAATAACAAACAGTCTGGTGGTTGAGGCTCACGTCTACCTGTCAACCAGTCTCACCGCGAAGCGTGTAGCTGCATAGGATTCTAACGTGGTTGGTGCTGGTTTGGACTCCTCCAGACTGGTCAGGTTGAAAATTGCTCAGTGTCAACAACACATAACAGAGGTGAACTTGGCTGTCTTCATTGAAGCAGGATGATAGAGACTGGCTTACTCTGGTTGTAGGCCTGTGCGATGCCTATTGTGTAGTTTTCTGGCCCAGTTGGTTCCGTTGGAAAGAGCTTATTACTAACCAGGTCAGAGTTGGAGGTATTTGACGCATTTAAATTACAAGAAAACTCCTAGCCGGAGACCTCATTTGTAACCCTGGCCTGTAATCTCTCATGTGGCCACTGTTCATAGGAAGGGTCAACAGAGCAATTACGCTGCAGCCAGGGTAGTACCTTCTGCTAATGAGGACCCACAAGGGCAGGCTCTCCTCGGGGCGTGTGAGTAAAACAGAGTAGCCTTGTGTTTGTGTAAGAAGGAAATGGAGTATTTTCTTTAAAAGGAAAAGAGATCATTCTTTCATGTCCCCAAATAAATTGTAGATAGATTTAAATAAATATTTTAAAACATATAGAGGAAGCAAGCAGACCATTAAAAAGGAATTTTTGAGTTCGAAATAAGTGAAAGCTCTCTTAGATTTGAAGCAAGAGAAGATACTAGAAAGGAGGAAAAAAAAGTTCACCCAAATGACAATTTAAGGCTTATGTACCCTGAAAAATAAAAGGAAAAAAGCAGATTGGAAAAATTATTCGTACTAATACAACAGACAGAGGCTTAATCTATAACAATTGATGAGCTCTTTAAGGATGAGGACAAGGAGATCATTAATACATGTATGGGTTATGGATATAAATCCAGTCGATAAAAGAAATACAGATAATAAATGACACGTGGGAAACTTTTACTTTGAGTAATAAGAGAAATTCAAATAAAGGTGATAGTGAAGTACCATGCACTCCTTCAGTTAGCAAAACATTTTTGAAAACTGCCAACACAAACCATGTGGAGGAAACTAGCATCATGTAGTGAGAACCAACATTATGGTGTATATCAAAAGCTATAGAATTGTTTATGGTGTACCCTTTATCCAGTTACAGAAAATGACTTCTGAATTTATCTCAACTTATTACAAGGGTGGGGAAAAGAATCATGTGCACAAAATTTTTCATTCTGGCGTTAACTGTGTTAGTGAAAACATAAATGAAGAAGCATCTGTTAACAAAGAAAGTGTTAAATAAATTATAATATTGCCTCAGTCAGCCTTTGAAAATGATAATTATGAAACGGAGTATAAAATTATATATACTATAATTACAGTTAAAGTTGAGAATGTAGATCCGAGGGAGGGAGGTAATGGATAAGTTTAGGGCATTGTGGGTGGTGACAGTACATATTCATGGAGGTAGGCTTATCTTCAAATTCATCAAGATGTACACATTAAATATATACAGCCTTTTTTTATATGTCAGTCATACCTGAGTATAAACAAAGTTTACTGCTTTGATTTTGTGCCTTGTGGTCCCTTCCAATGTCTTGATCATATCATAAAGGTTACTCTGATCTGTGAGATGCGTGCCTTGTAATTGAAGATTTGAAAATTGTTTACGATTTGTAAGAGAAACATTTACAGATGCGATAAACTTTGTGCAACAAATTAAAAATAGGATTAAAAAAAAGGAAAGAAATTCAGGTCAGTGGAAATTACAAAAGAAAACAAAAGAAAGCTATTAAGTTATTTAAACTGTAGACGATTCACTTTTCCCCCTTAAAATTGTTTTATTCTTATTATTTTTATCATACCGTGTCACAAGTTGGAGATAACGATAGTGGTAAACAAGATAGATATATGGTCCCTGCTGTTTTGAGACTCGTGGTTTAAGTGGCATATTTATGAAATAGAGTCTTTAAAATAAAGTCTGGTTTATTATGTATACTCTGAATATGCATAAGATACATGCATTCAGAACACTTGAAAACCCACATATCATGGGTTTCATTTTGGTGTATTTGTTTCCATGGACTTCCACGGAAACCTGAACTGGAATTCTGGCAGGCACAATCTCGCGCGCTGCCCTTCTCACGGGACGTTATGTCGTACCTCCCACGGTGTCACGTGGTCCGCATGGTTCTTCGTGAACGGAGCCGTTTCCTTAAGTTGTTCCCTTGTGACACATTCCAGTTACAAACCGAGGTATCATTTTTGTGCGCTGGTTCTTCTCCTCCTCTTCCTTGTCACAGCCAGCAACCCCAACGCGCACAATAGCGGCAACCCCGATTCAGACACTTCCACAGAGCCAGTCAACACCAAAGCGAATTGATACCCCCAGCTTGGAGGAGCCCAGTGACCTTGAGGAGCTTGAGCAGTTTGCCAAGACCTTCAAACAAAGACGAATCAAACTCGGATTCACTCAGGTAGGACGAACCCACCATTAACCTAGATCTCCCTCCCCGACTAGGTCCCTCCCTTTACGCGTCCAGGGAAGCTTCGGAGGAACAGTATATTCCCTGGCCCTGTTTTTTGGTTTTAGACTGCAGCTTTTTCTTAGCCACTTCCTGCCCTCATAAATTTAGACTGTTATCATATATTCAGTTATGAATGTATGATTTAATGTTAGATTAAAACCTTTACGATTTCTCTCAGAACACAGGGCTCTGAAATCATAATTCGGATGATACCGATAAACGGTGAGGGCTTAAAAGATATGTTTGGGGCTGCTGTAACTGTAGTGAGGGTTTTGTTATTTGTAGAACATCTGGTTCTAGGCCTTAGGGCTCTGTCTGCAAGAGTGAGAGAATAAAGATTGCAGGGTCTCTTATAGTAGCTGAAAGGGGAAAAGTTTGAAAGACTTGTTTAAAAACAGATTTTTGGGAGAGAGAGAGAGAAGGAGACCAAATAGAGAGAGAGAGAGAGAGAGACACACACACACACACAATAAGGCCAAATTGACACTAATTAAACAAATAGGAATCTGGTAAATCTGAAAAGTCCAAATGAATCAAAATCCAAATTAATTTTTTTTAATGTCCCCTAGCAGACAGCTTTTAATGTGGAATAAGTTTAATGGTTCAAACAGGCATCTGGGTATATAGCGTTTTTGTTCCAAGCACTACCACTGACTTACTCTTTGATTAATCTGTCACAGAGAATAGTTTTAAAGCAGGAAAAGAATTAAACGGGTAACAATGATATAAAATGATATAAGATCCTTAGATGAAAAAAAGTTGCTGAGGGGCGCCTGGGTGGCGCAGTCGGTTAAGCGTCCGACTTTAGCCAGGTCACGATCTCGCGTTCTGTGAGTTCGAGCCCCGCGTCAGGCTCTGGGCTGATGGCTCAGAGCCTGGAGCCTGTTTCCGATTCTGTGTCTCCCTCTCTCTCTGCCCCTCCCCCGTTCATGCTCTGTCTCTCTCTGTCCCAAAAATAAATAAACGTTGAAAAAAAAAAAAATTAAAAAAAAAAAAAAGAAAAAAAGTTGCTGAAGTATAGATCGGGTTGAGTGTTTTTATGCAATCAGGGGAAACCTGATGTTTTCTTAGAATATAATTACTGTTTGAAGGTTAAGTCACGACTTAAACACTAAGTTGAAAGTAAAGTTACGCGCAGCAGTGGTAGGTCAAAACCCAGGGATCTATCCCTGTTTGTTTTCTGTGTGTTTTTAAGAACAGACTTTTATTCCTTATGTTACTTTGGTAACTTGTTTTTGCTCAAAGAAATTAATTGTGTATTAGAAACATGAAATGATTTTTTTAAATAGGTGGAGTTTTAGAAAAAATGCAGTTATCTTTGTGAGGGGTTTCAGTTGTGAAGAAACACATTACAGTTCAGAAAGGTTTTAATGCTTTTGAAGCGCTTAAACGATCTGGCCTGTTTTTTCCAGAAGAAAGCTGAGGATACAACTAGATCGGTAGAGGTAGGTTAAGCTTGAACAAGTATGAGGTTGGCATATTTAGCAGTGCTGCAGCTTTTAGGCTATTAGCACAGCATACTCTTAGGTTCCCTAGGAGATTGTTGCCTCGGTGATACTCCAAGGATAATTAAGGCTTTTAAAAATCTTTACCTTTGACCCACCTAGTGGTTTGCCTTTCTGTGGCATTTGACCCAACATATTGCCAGTGTTGCGTCTCCTGCTCTTTCTCTTTTAGATAAAGGAGCTTCCTTATGGTCTGGTGCTTTATGGTTTTATCCTATTATTTGGTATAATTGTTACTTGTTTTTCAGAATGACTTTGACTTGCCAGTGGCAGCATTTCGCAAAATTTAACTGCGTGGATTAAAGCATATATTTCTGGTGGAGGATGGGAAAGTCAACCTTTGTTTTTAAGTCACACACTCCAGTTGTAGTCCTTCAAAGGTTGCTTTGTATCCAGTTTGTTTATATATACACACAGGGGAACTTCCCTTCAACTTGCTGGTTTAAACAAAAACTCCCTATTCTCTGAGTAAATAGACATGTTATTAGAGGTTTTAAACAGTAATTTTCTAATTACTTAATTGGTTAAAGGATTGCTGTAGATGTCACTGTATACTTGGGAGGCATACCATAGTATATTCTGTTGCGTGTAGCACATTCGTTATTTCCTAATCCCGATCTTTGTTCCTTTTTTTCCTTTTGCTCTTTTAAAAAATATCAAAGAGATACAACTTAGTTCAGATAATGTGTGAGGCAGCTGCTTAAAACGTTTACAATTGTGAGGAAGAACCCAGCGTGGTACTTACAAGAGCACTGAACTGAGCATCTATCAAATTAATGAGAATTAGTATATTAACTGAGCGACCTGTTGCTTTTTATTCATTTAAATAATTTAAATATGAAATAAAATTGTATTATAAACCTCAAGTGGATTTGTCATAGTTGTAGTGAGCTGATGGCGTAGCTTTATTTAGGCACAGCTACCATTTAGGGCGTTGTTTACTTTTATAACGATGTGATTTTTGATGGGTTATTTTTGTTTACTTACTAATTCTGTTACTTTTCATAGAGGTTTTTGAGAAATTCTTAGCAAATTACGTAGATACGGTGTCAGAAGACATTTATTTTCATCTGACCGCGACAACAGATCTTACACCCAAAGAATTGCAAGGTGTAGTTGGCCCCACCCAGCTTTCTAGAAAGCTGTCATCTAAACAAACAGAGTGGCCCAGAACATGAATATATGTGACAAACAAAGTATGTTTAGGGCCTGAAATACAGTAGGCACTTAGTGAATATTTGTTGATTGAATGAAGATATAATACATATTTAGAGAGATCGATGCTGAACACCTGTATCTACAGATACACTTGTATATAAATATAATAGATAGCATTTACGCCCCGCTCGCTCTGTCCTGGTTCTTTCAGTTTTACTATAATTGGAAGGAGGTCAATGAGCAGTCCATTTCTGTTCTACTCGGAGATAGTATATTCAGAGTTGTCAATAAAACTTTCTGTGATGATGGGAATGTTCTGTGCGGTACGATAGCCACTACCCACGTGTGGCTGTTGAGTCCTTGAAAGGCAGCTAGTGGTGCAGAGGAACCGAGTTTTTCATTTACTTGATTTTAATTAAATCTAAATAGCCCCATCAGTTGAAGTTCAGATAATCTCTGTACCTTATTGTATTTTATCGTATAGTTTGAATATTTTTCCTCTGTTAAACTTCTTGTCAGAAGTTGTGCACCAGTAAGAAACTGGGAGTTTAAAAAACAACAACAAAAAAAGGTTTTTTCCTTTCCTTAACTACCACCTAATGTAGGTGCTAATAGGCAGTGTAGTATCCAGAAGATGGATTGGTGGGGATAAGGGGGGAATCAAAGGACTGGGATAATCCCAATTCAAAATAAGTGTTGCCACAATGGTCGGGAGCTAAGTGTTTCATAGTGGTATTGGCCGTGTAGTGCTTAGAGCTAGAAATGTTGCCTTTCTGGCCTGCCACTAAACTAATTGAAATGAGAGCGTGAATCACTTAAACTCCATGAGTTTCTATCACCTGTATATAAAATAACTATTAAGATATGGCCTTTTCCAGCCTTAACAAGAGAGATTCAGCTGGAAGAAAAGTATTGTATACATTTCAAAGGTTATAGGCTTATAAAGAAAGTCATCTTTTGTAATATATTCAGGGGATCATTGTTCTATTGCTATAAGGTTACCAAGTTTCCAGGGCCCATGAAGGTTTAACTAAATGGGTCAAACCTCTCTACTGTGAATTTCTCTCTCTATAATGGTTACAAAAGTAGTCTTTTAGGGTACCTGTTTTTGTAACCAACTTTGAAATCCAAACTAAGGGTGGAAAATAGATTTTTCCACTGCTTCCAGAAATACTTTATGGGCCTGGGGTTTGGGGTGGCGGTGGGGGCGCTGAGGGGGATGGGGAATGAGGCATTATTTCTCAAATTTAAAATGATTTATAGGAACTTTGGTTAGTTCAGAAAGACCTGAAGTTATCTAGACAGTTACATCTGTTAACCCCATAAGTGGTAACAGGGAACTGGTTTTAAAGATTATTTAAAGTGTATCCATTATATATCCATTATAAAAAGTGTATCCATTAAGGGGCTTGTTAGATCACTGTCTTTTGAGACTTGGAAATATTTGATAATCTTGATTATTACGTGAAGTAACACGAAGAGACTCAAAATGAGAGAAAATGGGAGTTACGAATTTTGTCCCAAATCAAGGCCTGACCGGCTTCATTGAATACTGTGCTCAACTTAAAGGTGGATGCTTCTGTGGGACCCTGGAAATGGAATGATTGTTGAGTCTTTGTCTAGATCAGTTACTGGGGCAGCAGCCTGGAGTGAAGACTTGGGACGTTAGTGAGACAAATCTCTCTCCCTCTCCCCCTCCTGCTCTGTGTTACCGTGCAGGGCGATGTTGGGCTCGCTATGGGTAAGCTGTATGGAAATGACTTCAGCCAAACCACCATCTCTCGCTTTGAAGCCTTGAACCTCAGCTTTAAGAACATGTGCAAGCTAAAGCCACTTTTGGAGAAGTGGCTCAATGATGCAGGTGAGTAAGTGTACGAATTTTACAGGGGAGTTGTTTACACCTGGGCTTATGTCTTCTAGTACCGCAGAACTTATGTCTTATTGGTACCGCAGAACATTGAAGCTCACTAACCTTGGGAGGATCAATATAAATTATGACTCCATAAATTAGAGAACGAATTCGTTTAAACCTAGTAGTTACAATGGACACAATCAGTAGTCATTTTTAGCCTTAGAATATTTCTTGTATTTGAGCCAGGTTAGGGATAGTCGAAGGAAGAGGATGAGAAGTCCTAGGTGTTTACATACACTTGAAAAACAAATTTATTGGTTCTTCCTTGATGAATTATTATAAACTTGTTACTGATCAGATTTCCGCTTTTTTACTAAAAATGACCGCATATGGTTTATATACACAATGGAATACTACTTGACAATGAGAAAGAATGAAATCCTGCCATTTTGCAGCAACGTGGATGGAACTGGAGGGTATTATCCTAAGTGAAATAAGTCAGAGAAAGACAGATCCATCATATGTTTTCACTCATGTGGAACTTGAGAAACTTAACAGAAGACCATGGGGGAAGGGAAGGGGGAAAAAAAACAGTCACACAGAGAGGGAGGGAGGGAAACCATAAGAGACTCTTAAATACAGAGAACAAACTGAAGGTTGATGGGGGGTGGGGGGGAGGGAGAGGGGAAAATGGGTGAGGGGCATTGAGGAGGGCACTTGTTGGGATGAACACTGGGTGTTGTATGTAAGCAATGGATCACGGGAATCTACGTCCCCAAACCAAGAGCACACTGTATACACTGTATGTTAACCAATTTGACAATAAATTATATTTTTCAAAAAATACTTCCTACATAAAAAGCTGAGCTTTTAAAACTAGCTGAGCTAGTTTTAACTTGTTTTATACTGAGTTGCCTTACGGAAAATTTGGATTGTGAGTCACAGAATCAGAGACTCTGAGAGCTATAAGGAACCACAGAGATCTCCTAGGCTTTGGTTGTCATCGTAAATGTGAACAAAAGTCAGGTCTTTGGGAAAGACAAACCTGTAATTCCCACCCTTCAACAGTCTGATCCATGGCCGTGGGTGAGGCCTCAGCATCTGTAATCTTACTGAGTTCCACAGGTGAGAACCTTTCATTTTCCATAGGGTGTTCCATATGAACACCTTATGTTCCATAAGAAACGCAGAGATGTCTGTGATGTGACCAGGGTCATCAAACTAGTAAATGACAGAACCTTGTTTAAACTTCAAAGAATTTAGAAAGATCTGTGGTAGTGAATGATGTTTTAATATGGGTTATGAAAACCCTCCTGTGCTGGCTCTTAGCTTAACATATTTTGGTCCGTTTTGTTGTTACTGTTAATATATGTATCATATGCATGAGTCATGCTCAGCTAACTTGACTTCTGTGTTTTCTTCTTTCTTACAGAGAACCTCTCATCTGATTCGGGTCTCTCCAGCCCAAGTGCCCTGAATTCTCCAGGGCTGGGAATGGAGGGCTTGAACCGTAGGAGGAAGAAACGCACCAGCATAGAGACCAACATCCGTGTGGCCTTAGAGAAGAGTTTCTTGGAAGTTAGTAAAGTTTTTACTTTTCATGTACATGTGATTGTCTGTATAATATTAATATTAGGTGCTGTAGATGATGTAATGATGGACTTGTCAGCCTCGGTCCTGACACATGCTTATAACGTAGCGGAGAACATAAGACAAAGGAAGTTACCGAACATTGGGAGCAGAACCAGAGGCCTCCAGGGCTCAGGAGAGTCCAGGCGCGTATCTGCGTGAGCACCAGTGTGACAGAAGAGACCACAGCTGCCGTGGGATACGCAGGAGCTGCACAGGCGGGGAGAAGTGGGAGGAAAGCACTTTAAGCAGAGGAAGTGCACCAGCAGAGGCATCCAGGGAGGAAAAACCTCCCAGATTTGGCAAAGCACAAATAGTGCCATTTGACTAAATTCCATTGTCTGTGTGCCTAGAATAGTCGTTTGGGACTAGGCCACCAAAGGCCGTGGATGTCAGGGTTTAAATAAAGTTAGTTCTGGGCGCCTGGGTGGCTCAGTCCGTTAAGCGTCCAACTTGGGCTCAGGTCATGATTTCACGGTGCGTGGGTTCAAGCCCCACATTGGGCTCCGCGCTGACGGTGTGGAGCCTGCTTGCCATTCTCTCTCCCTCTCTCTCTGCCCCTCCGCGACTTGCGCTTTCTCTCTCTCTCAAAATAAATAAACTTTAAAAAAGGAAAATAAAGTTAGTTCTAACAGGTATTTAGCCTCTTTTGTCTTTGTTTGTTTGTTTGTTTGTTTGTTATTGTACCAGGCAATGTCACAATCACAGCTTCCAAAAAATTGTAACTTTTCTAATTTAGAAAAGGCTTGAGCACAGTGGAAGGAACATTGAATCAGGAGTCTCTCCACTCTACCGCTTTTATTAACTATATCAATAACTGTGACTTCACTGTGTCAAGTCACTTGATTTCTTGTGCTACAGTCCCTGTCTCTGAAATACCTGCCTTTCCTGCCCCGCAGGCTTATTGCCTACCTCGTGTGGTCCTAGTGAAATCATGTGCATGGAGCACTGACAACCTCTTAAATTCCTACTAACGTATAAAGTTGTATGGATTATGAATTTTATTCAAGATTAATAACCCTTAAGATGAAAAAATAAACATTCAAGAATACAACTTATTCGGGACGCCTGGGTGTCTCAGTCGGTTAAGCGTCTGACTTTGGCTTAGGTCATGATCTCACAGTTCGTGAGTTCAAGCCCCGCGTCAGGCTCTGTGCTGACAGCTCAGAGCCTGGAGCCTGCTTCGGATTCTGTGTCTCCCTCTCTCTCTGCCCCTCCCCTGTTCACTCTCTGTCTCTGTCTCAAAAATAAATAAACATTAAAAAAAGAATACAACTTATTTAATACGATTAAGTTTAACAACTATATGTTGATAAGAATGTTATCTATAAAAGTTCTTTGTTAAAAGTATGGCCAGGGGGCGCCTGGGTGGCGCAGTCGGTTAAGCGTCCGACTTCAGCTCAGGTCACGATCTCGCGGTTCGTGAGTTCGAGCCCCGCGTCGGGCTCTGGGCTGATGGCTCAGAGCCTGGAGCCTGCTTCCGATTCTGTGTCTCCCTCTCTCTCTGCCCCTCCCCCGTTCATGCTCTGTCTCTCTCTGTCTCAAAAATAAATAAACGTTAAAAAAATTTAAAAAA